GAGTGCAAGCTTTCAACAATAATAAGTATCCTACTATTTAGGGTCCCGTATTTTCTGAAACCCCCATCTCCACCACAAATCCCTGCCCCCTGACAGGAACATTCTCGAGCTTGAGTGATTTAGGACACCTGGATGACGGGCTAGTTATTTTTGTCAGTGCTTGCCTTTTGGATACCTATTTCTGCTCGGTCATGGATGCCAAGCTCAGTTGCAAAAGTCAAGACTTTGGCCTGCGCGAAGTTCATGACTGTAGATGTAGGGCTCCGGAGACAAAAAGCCCAACAACTCTAGAAACCCAAGCAGACCAACTTGTTACAGATCTAAGCCTTCTCAAACCCTAAACCCTAAACCTTGACAAAGGAATCTGCAGTTGAGAATATTTCTTTCTGAAGGCTGCTCTCCCCAAACCCCCCAAACCCACCTTAACCCCCTAAAATCCCAAATCCCCTAAACCCTAAATCCTAAACCGGAATCTCCCCAAATCTCGACTTCGAAGCTCTGCAACTTCTGCGAAACGCCCGAGGGGTGCACTGAAAGGTTCGCAGCAATGGCCAGGGAAAAGCCCACAACATACCTCGGAGAGCCACCGTCGAGGGTTTAAGGGCACTTACAATGGGGTTTCGGTGAGGGTCTAAGTCGTCGAGCCTTGTTAGGGCTTGGGACTTCTTTCGATTTTTCGGGCTTCAGGGTTCGAGGGTTTGGGCAGCGGTACTTTTGCTCACTCCTCTGGATTTGTATGCTGAGCCGATGCAGGATACTCCGTGATAAGAAATGAGTCTCAACCGAACACTGCAATACTACGAGCCAACATGCAAGAACAAAGCTTCCTAAGCCAAAACCAGTACAGCTTCAGAACTCATCAACAAGCGTGGTGCTTCCAAGGTCTGCATGCAAAGAGAACGATTTAGGCTGCAGTGTTTCGGGTCCTTGGTTTAAGGGTTTAGGGCCTAGGGTTTACTGCCAAAGTTTAGGGTTCTTACGAAGTTACTCGAAACTGAGCAAGAGCTCCACGGAGCTCGACGCCCACATCTAAACCTCGCTTCAGAGGTGCCAGGGTTTAGGGTTTAGGAGTTCAGGGCTTGAGGGGTTTAGGGTTTACTTGGAGGTTCATGGGTAGTTATAAATAGGGTTATAAGTAGGATAACTATACTTATAACCCATATTAGGGGACTCATAACCCTACTTATAAATACCCATGAACCTCCAAGTAGGAGTCTGCAAGACGTTTGTTGGGGTCTCAGTGTGCCGGGTCCTAAACCCCAAACTCAAAGCCCCGAACCCAAGACCCTTGGCCCAACACCCTAAACCATAAGACCTAAACTCTAAGCCCCAAAGCCCTGAAACCCCAAGCCCTGAAACCTAAACCCTAAGCCCACAACCCTGAAACCCAAGCTTCTTGCATGAGATCGGGGCTTAGTCGTGCGCGAGAGTGGGTGGCCGTAGTAGCGGCGAAGGGCTGGAAAGAGCCTGGTCAATTTTGACTTTTAGGGGGCCTTTCCGGTCTTTGGAGCTTAGAGTCTTGACTCTTAGAGGTTTTCCGGGGCTTGGAATTTGGAGATCGATCTCTAAGCCCTAAACCCGTACAGGCTCTAGGATTTATCCCTTCCCGTGCGGCTTGGGGAGAGGCCCGCCGGTTCAGGGTTCATTTCGGGAATGAGGCTGTTGCAGGGGATTTAGTATTACTATTACTATCGCTAATGCTACTACTGTTCGAACTATTGTAGGCTCTGCAGGCTTTCTGTGGGCTTTATGCTTTTTGCGTTAGTTGGGCTTTACCCTGAGCTCTAAAGCCAAGAGAAAAGCCATCTGGGTCTAACGGCCCTAACATAGGGGGCTCAAGATGAGCCTTAAGACATGAAGGGTATAGGGTTTAGGGTTTAGGGTTTAGGGGTTTAGGGTTTACGGTTTAGGGGGTAATATGGGAACCTGATTAAGAAACCTTGGGTCTGTATTAGGGTTCCTTATATGAACCCTAATATTTTTGGCTAGGGTTCCTTATATGAACCCTAATATTTTGGGGCTCTAGGGCCGGGGTTTCTTAATCAGGCTCCTACATTACACCCTAAACTGCAGGTACCCGCAGTTTTTGAGGACCGCCTCGCGGAACCAGGGGGGGGCGGGAGACTCCGAAATCAGGTTGCCATGGATGCAAACCGTGCTGCCGCGATGAACAACTGCACTCTGAAAGCTGGAAGAGAGATCCGTTTACACCAACAGCTTTAAACCCTAAACCCTTAAAGCCCTAAACCCGAAAATCCTAAAACCCTTAACCCCAATAGCTTGCAGCAGGGGTCTTGGCCCGAAACTCCAAGCCCTAAATGTTGGCCAGTGCAGCTCAAAGGCAACTTCTCATAGATGGGCACCAGTAGAATGATAGCGAAGGCGTCACCTGGGCTGCTCAGCCCTCGACCGTCAACTATCCGTAACCCTAAACCCTGAAGCCTAAACCCGATCCCAAACAAGACCCAAGGTGCGAAGACAAGCCCTGAAGCCGTGAGCCGGCATCCAAGCCCCAAGCCTTTGCGCATACATTGTACAGAGCCCCCAAAGATTTCACCAGGGGCTTGCTAAACCCTAATACCTACAAACTAAACCCTAAACCTAAACCCTAAACCCCACACCCTAAACCCTAATCTAGCAACCTGCACGAAGGGGATCGATCAGTCGAAACCTCAACCTGCAAGCAACCCTAACTAAACTGTAGACCACGGTTCAGAGGTTTAGGGTTTAGGGCCTAAAATTTAAGAAACCCTAAACCCTGAAATCTAAAGGAAAATTTAAGCCCTAAGCCTTTAAACTAGACACCTCTAGCAAAACTCCGAGACATCAAATCCTGAAACCTCTTAGCCGCAACATCCTTCGACCCCGGAAAATTCCCCAACCCTCCTCAGCCCTAACCCCTGGTATAGGTATGGTAAGCTAGAAATATATAATAATCGAGTCTGAGGTAAATGTGGGTAATTTTGGAGGCCCCTACATTTGACCCTAACCGGTTTGCGGCTTCAATTTGAAAGTTTAGGGCTTTGCGGGTGTAGGCTTACATAGTATGTATGTATACCTATTTCTATATATTTCTATCTATCTATCTATCTATATGTATATGTATATACCGATCCTTACCGAAGGCGGGGCACCGAGGCTAAAGAAGCTGCCATTCAGCTGCTGGCCGAGTAGTCGCGTGTCCATCTGGCACGCCTCTCTTTTTGGAGCTGCGAGGAGACTTGTGTTTGTTAGTAGTGAATACTACTATTGTATGATGATTATTCTCGTTAAGAACAAGTAAGTACTTCGTGATCGTGATAGCTGTTTTCTTCTGAGCCCCAAGGGTGTACTGGGGCCTAGGGGTTGCATCTTTGGAATTCTCAGAAGCTTTCTGGCTCTCGAGTTTAGGGTTTAGGGGCTGAGTGTTGAGGGGAGTGATTCCCCTCTTGAGGATCTCAACAGTGACACGGATCCATACGGGACTTCAGGGTATCCCCTGTCTTTTCTTTCTTCACCTGTCAACATGTCGAAACGGGAAACGCTTAACCTTAAATCCTAAACCCTAGACCCTCAATCCACAACTGATGCAGGGGCATTAACAGTTAGAATAGGGTCTTGGGGTTTATTATATTATATTTATAATGTGGAGCACCCAAACTAGTCTTGGTATATATCAAGGTCCCTATATTACACACCCGGGTTTGTAGGGCCTTTTACCTTCGTCGGACCTGTCGGCCGAATTGACCTTTTCACCCAGACCTCAAACTCCCAGGACTTTTGCCTGAACCTCCCATCACCCTAAACCCCTGATATGGATATCTTATGATGCCCCGCCCTGATGCCACATTCGGGTCCAAGGATTTAGCATTTGGGGTCTCTGCAAGGCTTTGGGAATTGGAATATTCGGGGCATGCATTCTTTGGCTTTATTCCGGCAGCCGCCGGGGAAACAGCTTTACTGCGACCTCGAACTTCGTTGAATCCGAATGGCGACCTTTCACGGGAAACTCCAAACCCCGAAACCCTAGTGCAAAATGTGAAGCACACCGCCTGGGCAGGATAGGCATTGTTCATCGCGTTGTAAGGGATGTTGAAACCAACCTCAGGCCATAATATAGCGGCCTGAATAAGTAGAAGAAGATTTTCTGGCATACTATACTATATTGAATATGTACAGCAAATGTATAGGATCGGAAATAATTCCGACCCCTATACCAGGTGCCACGACAAAGAATCCCAAACCCCGAAGACTAGAACCGCAATCTTGAACCTGACAGAACCTTGATGATCAAACAGTCAACCACAGAGCCCAGAAGCCACCAACAGTCTAAATAGCCCGTGAACTCAAGATCAATGTTTCTCACGAGTCAGGACTTGGGGCTTGAATATAAGCCATACAGACACAGAGCAAAGGAAGCGACCCCAAGGAGGACTCAACAACGGCCTGGGGGTTTTGGGTGTAGGATGTAGGGTTTGTAGGGCTTCGATGAGTTGGGATCTGCTCAGATTGCTGGAGCGCGGAGAAGCATGAACAGCGCAGTGCATCCTGCACGGTATACGCTGCAAAGGGATACCAGTTCGCGTTGCTCCTACAGTGTTCGCACAGGCATCTTCCTAAATCTATAGAACCTTGAACCCTAAACACTAAACCTATGGTAGACGTTGGTTTCGACCTGCAAGAAAATATCGTCTGCAAAAAAGCTATACAGTACGTCCTCCGTCTATCTAGGACTTGCCGATAAGAGACGTATTCCCAAGCGTCCCTCCTTTCTAACGACCTGTAGAACCATCAGGCCCTATACAAATAAAGGCAAACACATATGTATATATATATATATATATATGTGTGTATATGTTTGTATATGTGTGTGTATATATATATATATATATATGTATATACATATAGTAACGCATATAACACATATGCTAAATTATGTGTGTGTGTATATATATATATATGTATATATCAATATAACATGTGTATAGAGGTATATATTCAGTATGATTACTATTGATAAACTCCGACATACCTACACAGATGACTACGTAACTAGCTACCTGCCTGCCTGCCTGCCTGCCTACCTACCTACTACCTACTTACCTACATACCTACCTACCTACTAACTGCGCACATACATGCATGCATGCATGAAGTATTCATGCATACATGCATACACACACACATACCTGCATACATACATACATACATACATACATACATACATACATACATACATACATACACGTGTGTACACAGTGCGCCCCATTGCACAGCCACGGGGCGTTGATGCAGATGATGGTCGGGACACAGTTGAAGGCGCCCCGAACATCGGCTGTGGTGATTGCTTGTGTAGCCTCCGCCTGGAAAGGAGCTCTAGTAAGAAAACTAGCTTCAGTTAGCAGTACATCTACCTATCCATGCATCCACCCATCCATCGATCCACGCATATATACGTACATATATATATATATAGATAGATATATGTATAATATGTATCTATATATATATATATACATCAGATACGAATAGGTAGATAGACAGATGGTTCGATGAATGGATGAATGACTGTATGGATGGATGGACGGGTGGATATACAGATCGATGTTGGATAGATGGATCGATAGACAGATGGTCAGACTAATGTAATTTCCTTGTCAGGGATATGTATCTTAAGCCCCTTAACAAGAACCCTGTTAAGGCTTGTGGGGCTTGTGGAGTAGGGCGTAAAGCGCTCTGCTTGGAGATTCCACCCGCAAGAGGCCCAGACGCCTAAGCTACTCGTCCTCAAAACACCTCCACAATTAAAGGAAACTACAGGTATATAGGGTTTAGGGTTTAGGGTTTAGGGTTTAGGGTTTAGGGTTTAAAGGAAACTACAGGTGGGGAGTTTAGGGTATATAGGGCTTCTATAAGGCTTCCATAAGGTAAGTAGACCTGCTATAAAGCTCCTATAACGGCAACTCACCTGAAAATGTCCTAGACACAAACCCCAAGCTAGCACCCTGGCCCGAAAGCCCTAACCTCCGCAGCCTCAAACTCTAGAGCCCGAAACCCTAAACGCCGAACCCCCCATCCTTCCCTCAGACCCCGAGCCTGATAGTTAGAACCCAGGTATAGGGCAATGCTGCGAGCTGCTACAAATTGAAACCTCGCAGACTGCGCTAAGGCATCAAGCTCGGGATTAACGTAGGGGCTTTAATAATTAGAATAGGGTTTTGGGTCCCATTATACTATAACTATAACAAGGAACCCTCAAGCTAGTGTGGGTAAATATTAGTAAGGTCCATAAATTAGGACCGGGTTCTACAACTATAATAACAAGGAACCCCCAAACCAGTATAGGTAATTATTATTTAGGCCCCTACATTAGGACCGGGTTTTACGGGTTTCTTGCTTTTTTCTTCACAGCTCCATACTCCGGTTTCAGGAACATCCTTGTCTCCGGGATGAGGATTTGAGGAGTTTCGGGTTTAGGAAACCCTAAACTCCACACGGTCCAGTCTTCAAGAGTTCGAAAGCTTATATGGGAGTTTCCGAAAATTAGGGGTACCTTATTTTGGGGTCCTTATAATAGGGATCCTATTATTTGGGGTACTATATTAGGGTCCCCTATTTTTCGGAAACCCCCATATAACCCACGAAACGGAGCCGCCTGCGGCGGCAATGGCTCGAGGAAGTCACTCCGCTGGTGCAGCGATATCTGGGTCTCCGGGTTTAGTGGGCTTCTGTGGCGGCCCTAAGCATATTCGAAAGGGTTGCTGCAGCTGTAAAAAAAGAATACGTCTCCATGTAGCGACTGTAGGGAGAGATATTGTTGCTAATCCAGACCTGCATATGGGTAGTTCTCTAAATTAGGGTCCCTTTTAGGATCCTTTTCATATGGGTGCCGTACTATATTGGGGACCCAAAAGGGGACCCTAATATAGAGAACTACACATATTAGGGGCTGGGGATGTTGAACTCCAGCTTGAGGAAGCACCTCGGGGGTGGTCAGAACACAGCTCTTCCCCAAACCTACCCCCCAAAAAAACCCGAACCTTTAAATGCTTGACCTTGCCCTTCACCCGAACTGGGTTTCGCAACTTTACGCATATAGAGATCCTGAGCCCCTGCCCTTCTTGGAGCTGTCTCTATGGCGCCAGGATGATCTATGGAGCTTGAGGCCTTAGCGATTAGCATCATGATGACTCTGAAAGGATATATCTTGTAGACTTCCGAAGCCTCAACGCGGCGGGGGAGGGGGGAAATGAGGTGGGTGGAAACAGTCCCCAGCAAGAGTCTGTATGTACGGGATCCTCAGTCCTATGTACCTTCATCCCACCTTTTGCAGCAATTGGTAATATAGGATCCTCAATGATGAAAGTAGGGCATTGGGGTATATTACACTATACGTAAACATAAGGAAACCCCAGAATAGTATTGGGAATTCTTTAGGCTTCTATGTTATATACAAATTATTAGAGCTACCCACATCGCGACGAGGCGCTAGCAGCGCACATGAGAGAAACGCCAGACCCATGCCCAACCAGGTAAGAGTTGACGAAAGCCTCGCTTTGTTTAGGGTAGGAGGGCTTGTGATTACAGTATAGGCGCCTTAGGGGCTTAATGGCTTTAGCAGTTTAGGGTTTAGGGGTTTAGGGTTTTAGGTTTTAGGGTTTTAATGTTTAGGGTTTTACGGTTTTAGGGGTTTAGGGTTAAGCCTTGCACAAGAAATCCACCAGATTTTTTTAGCCGATTCCCAAGACACACACCTCAAACGGCGCCTCCTCGAGGCAACCGGAAAGCCCAAAACCCTATTCTAATAGGCCCCTACAAAACCAAAAAGAACCCCAAACACCCTATCGTAGCCCTTGTAGAGCCCTTTAAGGAACCGCTTGAAGGATTCTAACAGGCCCCTAAAAAACTAAAAAAACCCAAATCCCCTATATCGTAGCCCTTGCAGAGCCCTTTAAGGAAGCCCTTTGAAGGCACAACCGCCCATCAGCCTTTGCCTCCCGTAGGCTTTTTTTTGCTGTTCAGGTCCCGGAGGTCTAAAGCGGAGACTCCAAACACACCTAAAAACAGGGAGCCTTAAAAATTAGAATAGGTATATTAGTATATTTATGATAAGGAACACTGAAAAAAGGGGGCCTTAAAAAAAATGAATAGGTATATGTATACACACCTAAAAGAAAGGGGCCGTAATAAGTAGAAAAGGTATGTTGTTATGATAAGGAGCCCCCAAAGCCCTATTCTAACTGTTAAAGCCCCTATATTAACCCTTGCCGGGTTTGTCAGTTTGCAAAGAGACCGGGGTGGCAAACCTCGGACCATGCTCAAGGGCAATACAGCCCAATGAATAATGTTAGGGCCCCGATACTAAGGAATGTAATTCTTCTGGGCTCCTGTAACAGTTTTATGGTCAACAGGCCCGATATTCGAGGCCTGAAAGCCGACAGAAACACGTTGCAGTCTCAGAACAGGGAAGTCGGGGGTCTGCAGCGGTCTGCATGGTGATTTTCGCGCTTCTTATGCGCAAGAACCCGATTTTTCAACCGCCTGTCGGTAAAAGGCGAAAATCGAAGGGAACACAAGTCGCAAGGGAAGCAAATGCTTGAAACCTATCCGCACAAAACTTCGAGGACCAAACGAAACCACAAGGGGCTTACGGCTCATCTCCACTGTCTACAGTATATCACTCCCAAAATACCTTAAGCGCTTCGTAAGACATTTGTTGGTTGCAAAACCCTGGACATGCTAGGGGTCCTCGAGGCCCTCCAAGGAACCCCCGAAGCCCTAAACCCCGAAAGTTAACATCGTATGTCGCCTTGTTAAGCATCTTGGCGTGCTTCTCGCTTGGATGGCCCGCAGACGTCTTGCATAAACCCCGACAGTTCTAAACCCTCTAAGCCCAAACGACACGACCTTAAATCTTTCCGCAAGAGCCGGGAGGCCATGCGATGGACCCCAAGAGAGAGCCAGTGAGCACGATCCTTGGAGTGACCGTTTTCAATAGGGTCTTGGGGTATAACTTTGCCGTGCTTGCGAGTATCGTTTGGAAGCCTACTAGTTACTAGTTCGGTTTGCTTGTAGCAAGGAGCCCTAATATCATAGTGTAACTCTGATTGTACTTACATACATACATACATACATACCTACATACATACATACATACATACATACATACATACATGCATCCATCCAGTCGTGCATCCATAGATACATGCATACATGTTTGTGTGTGTGTATATATATATATACATATATATATATATGTAGATGTAGATATGTATAAACACATAAGTGTGTAGGTATAACATGTAGACATATGTGCGTAAAGAACTGAGTGTGTATATATACACACTGCAGTATGAGTCAAACAACCCTGAAGTTCAGAATCCAAGGCCCCCAGACCCGCAAGACCTGACCTCTAATCCCGAAGGCCTACCTAGTGAAGGCCCCACGCTTGCCTCAAAGCTCTGGGGGGCTTCTCTTGGAGTTAAGGGTTCAGGGTTTTGGGAGGTGCTTTGGGGGCAGCTTCGGTTTGCATGAATTTCAATACAGCTGGATGCCTAAACAATGCCTGGCATCGCCATGTAGGTCGGGATCAGAGCCCAAGCCAGTACCTGGCCCGGTAAGAAAAGGAGCGAGGTTGCTAAACCCTCAACCGGGTTTGGGGTTTAGGGCGTAGGGAAATATAGGGGCCTTAATAATTAGAATGGGGTTTTGGGGCCATTGTACTATAATCAAAATAAGGAACTCCCGTTTAGGCCCCTGCATTACGCTACACACCCTTTGTTCCCGAAGCCCCGGATCCTAAAGCCTACCGGGCTCAGAACCCTCAATACGAAACGCCTCAACCCAACAAGCCCTCGAACCCTAATGCCCAAACCCCTGAAGCCCTAAACCCCGCAAGCTCTCTCGCCCTTAGAGCTTAAGTCTAGCCTACAATGAACGAGGCTGCGGTACCTTAAGGCAAGCCGGAGAACTTGCTTGACAGCTTTCTCAGCATTGTAGTCCCCCACATCCGGAACCCAACAAATCCAAGAAATCGAAGCTTGAATGACTTTGCAATACTATTCCCTAGCGCTGCCAGTATACTTAGATTTTTGCAAATCCCACAAACCCGACTCTACTCACTCTATAGGGCCCCTAGGAGTTCATTCCATGGCTAGTTTGGCTTTTTGCCTAGGCTCCCATAGGCTGGGGTTCCCGAAGCTCCTGAGATCCGAAACCCCCCAGCCTTCAGCCCCCAGACCCTGAACCATCGTCTAAGGCTGGAACCCTGGGCCCCTAGTATGGGCCCGAAAGGGTGGGATCCTTATATACCTACTATACACCCTATATGTACCCTTAAGGGCCCCTAGAAAGGCCAAGGGGTCCATACTAGAAGCCCATACTTCTAACCTTAAGCCTTAGACATCGCGAGACCCAAAGGCGGCAACGACGAGCCCTGAAGGACCCTAAGCCCTGAGCCCGGAGCTCTAAACCCAATGCCGGAAGCCCTGAATCCTGACATCGCGAAGGGTTTAGGGTTTAGGGTTTAGGGTTTAGGGTCGACAAATCCCTATAACCATACTCGAAACCTCATGCGAAGCTGTGTTCGGGCCCATGGCCGCCAAGTCGCACAAAGCTTGCCAGCAAGGCTCTTCTTCGCAGCATGTCGCCTCAGTAGCCCAGCATTAAGGTCCTATGTACCTGCAGAGTACATGCTTTGGTTGCGATGTTAGGAGTTGCCATGACGGTTTTTGTATGTAATGTAGGGGCCTTAATAATCAGAAAAGGGCTTTGTTATACTATACTTATAGTAAGGAATCCCCTCCCCCCCCCGCCCCTCCCGCCCCCCAAATAGTATAGGTAATTGTTTTGGCCCCGATATTTCTGCCTTATTGCCTTGATAGGATTCCTTGAAGGAGCCCTGCAGCGGACTTTGGAACAGCCCCCGCCTTCCCTCCTGCAGATCCGCGCCTTGGCATCTGATGGAAAGAAACTTCCACCACCCTAAACCCTGAACCCTAGACTCTAAACCCTAAACCCCCCTAAACCCTAAACCCCAAAACCCCAAACCCAAAGCCCCAGACTCGAATCGAACCCCATCTCCGAACTAAGCCCTTGAGGTTCAATGGGTTTCGGGCTGCAAAGCCCTGTAAAAGACGATAAATCTCATGTAGGGACCTTAATAATTGGACCAGGGTTTTGGGGTATGTTCTACTATAATTATCAGAAGGAACCCCCCCAAAATACTATTGGTAACTATTTAGGCTTCTATTCTTGTATAGCCTTCAAACCCGAAGCCAATAAAGAAAGGCTCCGTTCACTGCCAAGCGGCATGTGCTGCCAAAGGACGCTGGCCATGGGTCTCCGCGTGACGCGGTCTTTGCCTGTATACCTGCTTCCCCAGGCAGGTGTACAGGGTTCAAGCTTTGTACGGCTGTTCGGTTTTGGGCTTAGGGCATTGGGTTTCGGCCGGGCTTTTAGGGAACTTAAAAGCCACAAGACCCAAATGTTATTAGGGTCGGAACTCCGAAGCTAGGCGCTAAAACCTACCACCCAGGCTTTCCGGGTTGATCCGGAGTCCGGAGGTCTGGAAATTGCTAGTTCAAGGCTTAGGCTGTAGAGTTTGCCATTGGCGTTGGGTTTGGGGTTGTGTGGGTAGACAGGTTGTAGAGCTCCGGCAGGTGGAAACCTAGGCCCTAAACCCCAAAGCGAAGCTTGGGATTCGAATGGAGGAGACGATGGGAAGGGGGGAAGAGTCTGAAAAACTCCAGGTCTTACTTTGCTTCTTGTACAGGTGCAGCCATAATGCCATAGTGACGCAACCCTGTTGCTTAGTATAGATCCCTGGTATAGGCTCTCCTTAAAGGTGACGGCGCCGGTACGGGGCC